ACACCTGAGGACCAGCAGGTTCCCCGCCTGAGGACTGGCAACGCTGGGACTCCCGTCACCAGGCCCATCCCTCCAGGACATCTCGGAGGCTCGAGCTGCTGCTGGAGTCTGCAGAAGTTACTGTAAGGAGCAGGCAGCCTGTACCCTCAATGGCCCTTACATCATTGCATGACAGCAAATGGTCCAAGATACCCAGTCTGGAGGCACAGGAAGAAAAACCACTGTGGGATCACAGCCAAGGGATGAAAGTGGGGAGAGGCCAGGTGGCTGGGCCATTTGTCACGAGTCATGGACGTGGGGCCCTGGGATGGAGAGGGGACCCTGGGGGAGGCCATCTTGTTGTGGCCCTGCCCTCCTTGAGAAAGGGACAAAGGTCTCGAAATAGCCAGGTCAGGGGGTATCAAGGACCTGGCTGCTCTAGGCTCGCCTATCTGTGCCCTCCAAGACCTCCATGGGGTCTGGGAGGTCAGGGGCCAAGGAGCCTCTGTGGAGCCTGGGCCCCTGCCAGGAGTGGGAGGGACTTCTGTTCAGGTCTCCTCTACCCCTTTCCCTCAGTTCTCCTCCAGGCCCCTCGCCATCCTCAAACTGCTGATGCCCCGAGGCCAGCTCAACAGTGACCCTCGAATATCCCCGTCCTGACCACTGGTGCCGTAGGTGTGAAAGGCACTTTAGAGACATGGTTACGTGCAGGATATTAGAAGGCATCCTACCTGACTGGCCAGGACTGTGGCAGATGTATGCACGTGTGGTGTCCGTGATCTGTTGTGTGTGGTATAATGTGTATGCAATGCGTTGCCTGGTGTGCTGTGTGGGATGTCATGCGTGGTTTATCTGGTGTGTCCATGCTGTATGTGCTATGTGGTGTTAAGGTGTGTGCGTGGTGCGTGTGAGGTGTGTACATGGCCTGTGTGGTGTGGTACGAGGTGCGTGCATCCTTCCAGCCCATCGTGCTGGCCACACGGTGAAATGTTCCAGGCCAGCACACAGCAGTCACAGACCCCTGCCAGTGCAGCACAGTGTGGTGCTGCCACCTGAAAACTGGGTGGCTCCACAGTCTGCTGTCCCTGGCAGGCGGCTACCAGGAGCTGCCCTGAACCACCAGCACGCTGGTCTCCGAGGACTCAGACATGAAGCATGGAGGAAGGAGTGTGCCCAGCCCGCCCGCCCTTCCTGTGGCCAAGCTCAGGGCCCAAGGCTCTGGGACCACAGCCACCAAGCCCTACCAGCTCCCTGCCCTGGTCCTCCCAGCCAGGCTTGGTGACACGGGCTATTTTAAGTGTCAGTCTGGGAGAGGCCCACCTGCCCTGCTGCATGGCCGAGTCGCCTCTCCACTGAACTCTACCAGGCCCTCCTCCCCAGGCCCCCACCCCTCCAGCCTTCTCTCCTGCTCACACCAGGACATTCCCTGGGACCAACGTGACCCCTCCAGGATGGGCGGTGGCCTTACCTCTTCCTGAGCTGAGGCTGAAGCCATGGGGACGCCTCTCACTTTTGGGGCACATCTGGTGGTAGGCAGGCCCTCAGTGGATACCAGGGTGGGCCTGGTCCCTGACGGCAGCCTGGACCATGCTCTGGGTCAGGCCATCAGGTGTGGCCTTGATGGAATAAAGGAACAGCAAAGCAAGGCCCCAGAGGGGTCCAAATGTTTCTGGAGAGGGTAACAACCACACAAGGAGGGCAGAGGGGAGGTGGGAGGCCTCAGTTTCCCAACTGTCCACTCTGAGGGCTAGAAAGGGATCAAGCTCGTCCTTTTGGCTCCTAACATGCTCTGTACCCTGCTTTGGCTGGAGGAGCAAGACCACGGTTGTTTCTGACCCTTGGACCAGACACCGTCAGGCCTGGCCAGGGAAGACTGACAAAAGCAGAGGACAGAAGGAAGAAGCATTTCTCAAGCCCCTAAGGCCAGCAGGGGCAGTTGCAGGTCGTATGGCCTGGCCTCGGAAGCACTGAGATGAGACCAAGTGGTACATTTCCCTGTGCCCCAGATGCCCACAGGGGTGCTGGCCTCTACAGTTCCTACTGACCACTCAGCTCCCAGCCCCTGTCACCTGCACAACAGGTCCCCCACACCAGCTTCTCCACATGCTGATACCACAGCAAAGTCTGTTCCCTGCAAGGCCCCAGTATTTCACTCTGCTGAGCCCAGGGGCTGGTATTAGGAACATCTGTTGGCAGGCGACATGCACCTGAAGAACTGCCACATAACATGTCATGCACTTGGCCACACAGCCTGCCTGTCTGCAGGAAAGGAGCCCCGGGCTTTCCACTCTGTCGTGTGGACTCAGCTCCTCAACAAGGTGGTCCTCCACTGCACTCCTAGTACTCTCAGGCCACCGCCACCAGACACGAAGGGCTCTTCTGTTCTTCCACCTGAGGAAAAATCTGACCAGGGAGCCACACCCAGGTGTCTCAGTGCAGGCGTGGGCCAAAGGAGCTCTGCTGGTTAGGTGTGGTGGTGTAAGTCCTCCACAAGGAATTGAGGCAAGAGTTCAGGCCTGGCCTAGGAGACATAGTGAGATCCTTTCTCTCAAAACCCAACAGAGCTCATACCACAAAAGGTAGACAAAGGTCAGTCTCTACAGTCCATACCTGTGGGGGCCTGCACAGGGCTACCAGCTGCTAACACGCCCTGCATTTATACCGGACACAGGCCTCTCACAGGCTCCTAGAGCTAATTTAACAAGAGACAGGCTGCAGCTTACAACTCTTAGTAACTTCTGATCATAGGTTTAAAAAATAAACCAGATTTGCTTTCCCTCCTCATTAATTTCAATCCTCCCCCCAGCAGTGAGGCCCTGCTCCCCAGTCAGATGGTAGCCAGGTGCTACCGAAGCCAGGGATGGATCTAAAGCATGGTTTGGCTGAACCACTATCATTCAAGAGTAGATCCCATGGGAACATTCTCCAACACTGGTCAAACCGACCCTCTGTCTGCAGGGCACATACTAGACTCAGAATTTTCTGCTTTTAAACACCCCAGAACAGGTCAACAGAACCCCTATACTGGGAGCTCTGAGGTTACTTTTTTTTCGGTACCAGGGATCAAACTCAGGACCTTGTGCTTGAGAGGCAGGCATAGCACCACTCACTGAGCTACATCCCCACCTCTGGGGTTACTTTTTAAAAATGTTCTGAATGTGCTAGATGCGGTGGCACATTCCTGTAATCCCAGCAAGTGAGAGGTAGGAGGATTGCAAGTCCTAGACCAGCCTGGGCAACTTCACAAGATCCTATCTCAAAATAAAAATTTCTTCCAAAGTGCTAGGTCAGTGGTAGAGCTCTTGCTCACCATGTCTGAGGCCCTGAGTTCAATCTCCAGTATGGAAGGGGGAAAAAAATCCAAATGACCTATTAACCTCTAAATTATTACAGAAATAAAAGCAACCCTATACACTGTACCAGAGGTCAACAAATTGACCTTTGGCCCTAATCTGGCCCACTGCCAAGTTTTGTAAATAATGTTTCATCGGCTATGTTACTGTCTACAGCTGCTTCTCCAGTGTCACAGCAGCTGAGCGGTTATGACAGAGACCCTGTGGCCCTCACCACCTGCAATCCGCCCCTTTATGGGGAAGAGCTGATTGATTCCTGATAAGCTCACAACAGCTTCCTGCTGTTTATACAGTGTTTCTGCGGGGCTCGCCCAGCAGAACAGCATAGATGGCTCCGCCTCAGACCCAGTGAGGAAGGCAGTGGGTGGGAAGGGCCGACCAAGAAGACTTTGTGCTTGTGGATGCAGCCTTGGCCATCTTACTTGCTGGTGGGAGGAGACAGCATGACAGGGCGTGGCCCGACTCACCTGTAGCCTGGCAGAAAAGGTGGAAGGTCCCCAGTGCATGCACCTGCTGTGCCTGGTCACTCAGGAAGGGTGGCAGCAAGGCGACCCGCGTGCGGCTGTCAGGCCCTGGGCCCGGGGCTGGCCAGGAGCTCCGGGGAGAGGAGGACGAGTCAGGGCCCAGACAGGACAGGGAGGAGGAGCCAGGAGGAGGGAAGGGCTTAGGAGATGAGGCTGTGAGACAGAGGACAGAAGAGAAAGGGCACTGAGGAGGTGTCGTCAGGACAGCGTCCCAGGCCACAGAAGGCAAAGCACAGCGGGAAGCGGACAGGCGGGGGCAAGGACAGAGCCCAGGGCCACCACACCGGGGCCACCCCACAGCCTCCGCAAGTAACACGTGCACGAATGAAGGATAGAAGCCTCTCGTTTATTTGGATATTTTCCACATGTACACAAGTCAAGATAGAAAAATAAAAACAAAGTCAATCTTATAAAACACAAAAGTTTACACCAAAAATGATGAGCTCCTACCATGCTGGAAGGTGAGACTGTCCACACAGGCACATGGAAATCCAGAGTTTATTGTTCTTTCCCACAGAACAAAAGTCCTCCTCTGAGTGAGTATTTACAAAGTGGGAGATGGGGGTAAAACAACGAAGGCTAACATCGTACCGCCCATTTACATCTTTAAGGACAGCATGGAGGCCGGTCTGGACTATGCCTGTGTGCACCAGGCACGCTGTCACAGCCTGCAGGTCTTCCAGGGAGGGGACAGCTCCTTGGGACTGAGGGTGGAGCCTGGGTGGCAGCGGGGATGAGATGGAAGCAAGAAGAGAAGGGCGATGTTCACAGAACCCAAGACATCTTATGAAGGCTCCGCCTGCCCAGACAGACACAGGAACGGGACGGGAAAACGCTCCTCCCCTCGGGGCAGCCTGACTGCTACCACCCAGGGCCACCGGGCCACCCTTCTTCACTTGACACCTGCCTGTGGATGCAGGACAGTCCTCCTCTTCGAGTAAGTTAAAAAAAAATTACAGAAATAAAATCTGAAAAGAATGCTTCCAAGAGATAAAGTAAAAAAAAAAAAAGTGAAAAGGTGAGTGTGTTCAAGAGACGTGTTTTTTAGGTCTACACTTCTAAAAGCAGAAAGAATGCACTTAGCAAAAGTAAGTCTATCCCTGAGAACTGTAAGCAACGTAAGCCATATTCCAATATATAACAAAATCTGGAAGATGAACATCTAAATATTAAAACATCTGCTCCAGTAATGAAAAAAATGACCTAAGACTCAACACAATCAAAGCGAAATCCTAAAAAATAATTCAATGGAAGAAAAGGTCTGTGCCAATCTGGACAACAGGCAATAAGTTACCAATCTGATAAACTAAAATGTCATTTCCAATCTGGAATGAAATTATCTTTTAGTGGCTGCTACGAGGAGGGGAAGAAGGAACGCTTCTCAGCCGGAAGTCAAGCCATCTCTCTCCCCACAACACAAAGGGCTCAGGTACGTAGGTCAGGGCTGCCACCCACACTGAGATCTCCAAGCACTCCAACCCACTGCGGGACTCGAGACCAGGACTCAACACTTGTCACTTTCCCACAGCACAAAGAGGAACAAGTCACAGGCTCAACCCAAGAGGAACAGAGGACTAAGGATCGCTGCACGGTGACAAGACTCGAGACTCGGTTACTGAACGGGTTAAACACGGAACTCTCCACCAAGGAACTGCAAGACACCAGCAGGACCGGCCTCAGTCTCCGTCTGCATCCGAGTCTGCAAACTTCAGTTCACACTTCACGTCGAACGGCTTGTCCCTGGCGGAGAGCTCGTCGATCCTCTGCGAGTCCTCCCTGTCTGTGGGGACTTTGCTGGTGATGGTATCCTGCTCCGTCTCATAGCCGGTGTCCAGGGCCGGCTTGGGCTGCTCTCCGTTCTGCTGGGAGAAGCTCCCGGGCTCCACCAGTGTCTCTTTCACGCTCTGCTCCAGGTCTGAAAACTCTGGCTTGGGCTTCTTCCTCCCGAGCAGGAGAGCTGAGCGAAATTTTAAGCACTGCCCAGGTAGGTAGCCTTTATAACAATTGTAGGAAAAGAGGCAGAGGAAGAGGGCAAAGATGAAGAGCAAGAGAGACATCAGGAGGCGGTTGTCGCTGGACTTCAGATACATGGTCTTCTCCGAGTGCAGCTGCGGGACTGTGTTGATGACGATTTTGGGCTCACAGGACGTGCTGGTGGGTGCCGGCTTGGGAGGTGGGGTGATGGCCCCTGGGAAGGTGGTCCGTACAGCCGGGGTCAGGGGCGAAGACCCCTGGGTAGATGCTGCAGGCACCCTGGGGGTGGCCTTGCTTCCTTCTGCCTGAGAGGCTGGTGCAGTGGGGGCCGCCGGGGTCCGAGGGAGCAACTTCACCTCCAGCACGTGCTTGGCCACCACCTGGGAAACCGTCTTGTTCCTGACCCTCTCCTCTGCCAGGCACTGGTACACCCCACTGTCTCCTTCCGACAGGTTGAAGATGAGCAGGTTTTTCCTGCCCACAAGACCGTACTTAGGGCTCTCGGCCTTCAGCACACCGTTTTGAAACTTCCATACCACCCGGGCTAGGTTGGACTTTTGGGAGCATTTGAGTTCTGCCATGCCGCCGTGCTTGAAAAAATGCTGCCGGTAACTTTCTTTAATCTTATCTGGAACATCAAAATAAACGTGCACAGCATCAACAAGCCTGGTGGTTTACTGGACTTCTTTTAAAAACAGGTCAATCAATACCCACAAGAGGATACAAGCTTCACCCACTGGAGCAAGATGGAATCTTCCAGAACAACTAAGACATGCGTGACCACAAAAGCAAAGACGAACCCTGATGGCAGCCCTCAGGGACAGAGGAAACCAGAGGTGGCTTTGAACAGCAGAAATCCCGCATCTCGGCCCTGAGCCCACAGGGCTGGGGAGACAGAGCAGAGGCCGCTCCGTGCCTGGTGGCAGTGGCTTCAGACAGACACCAAGCACTTGGCTGCAGGGGAGGCTGGCTTTTGAAGCACCACAGCACCCTCCCCGTACCCTCCTCAAGCTGATGACTGCTGTCTGCTCAGAGTGCACAAGGACCCCGGAGCCAAGGGCCACACCTGCCCTCACACATCAGCAAGGTGCATAGGACTTGCCTTGGGTCACAGTGCCGTCTCCCCGCAGCTACAGGGAGTGGGGCTCCTGTGGAGAAGCCATACATCTTTTATTCGAACATGCTGGATAAAAGAGTTTTGGCTTTCAGATGTTTTGCAGATTTTGGAATATTTGCTTATACATGATGTACCTTGGGGAGGGGACCCAAGTCCGAACAGGAACTCATTTATGTTTCATATGCACCTTACACAGTGCCTGAAGATAATTTTATGCAATATCATTCTGAGCAGGAAACAAAGTTCTATAGCATGGAATGTTCTACTTGTTACATCACGCTGGCACTCAAAAGCTTTCAGATTTGTGGTTTTAGGATTAGAGGTGCCTGACTTGTACACATGGTCTCCTTTCATCCTAATCCTAGCAGGTGTTGAGCCCAAAGCTAAGCAGAACCAAGAAGAAGACAGTTTGGGACACAGTGCTTTCCAATAAACAATATACCCTACATGGCTTCAAATACTCTCTGCGAGCAAAGGGACAGAGAGAGACTGGGCCTGCGATACGATTCTTGACCTCCATTTCAAAACACAAACACCACACCACTGAAACACCATGGACTGTTTCCATGGCGAATCCGAGGGAATGGGACGGGGATCCACTCACCTGGGCATGAGGACACATCACCGCTCATCTCCTGAATCCACCCCCTGAAAAACAACCAGTGTGGTTACCAGCCTGAGCCCGCACGGGGGCACTTTCAGGCAGCACTCCCCACCCTGTACCTGCTGGGGCCCTCAGTCTGGTGGACAGAGACGCAGGCAGCCGCGGCCGGGCTCCAGGCGCAGTAGGGATCCCGCGCCAGTACACAGTCCTCGCAGCTGCTGTGCTTCCCGCAGAAGGCCAGGGGGGCCTGCACCACCCCTGAGTTGGAGCCGGCATAGACAAACCTCCTGCCCTGTGCGTGGGAAGAGAGAGGAGAACAGGCATAGTCGGCAGTCACCCACGGCAGGGGATTGGAGTTTGGGGTTACAGCACCAAGCATCGTCGGGTGCTGCGGGGCTGGGGGGACCCTCCCTGTCCTGAGCTAGAGCAAGGTCGGTGGGACTTAAGGCAGACTCGGAGTACGACTTGTATGAAAAAGATGGCAGGTGGTGCCCAAGCCAGCAGCAGTGATGCGAGGGCCCAAGGATCCAGGCCTCGGGTCCACATTTTCCCTCCCCTCTGCTTCTCTGCCTGTCTGGGTTCCACCCACTGGCAAAGTGTACCCTGCACCTATGTCTTCCCGGGGAGGAAGGTGGCTGCCTGTGAAGCGAGAGGCCCTGCCCTGCCCGTAGAGAGACAGCATTAGTGGCAGCTAAAAGCTGAAGGGCACAGCCTCTGAAGGCTACTCTCACCTCTGCACAGGGCCAGTGTCACCCACCCCTGCTTGTGTCACCAGTGCCTGCATGCAGCACCCACGTGTCAAGGGCACATCTACTAGTGTGGTGCAAACGATGAACAGCTAAGGCTGATGACTCAACTAAAGAAGGGATGACACCAGCTCAGCCTGGGCTCGGCAGCGAGGCCCTGTCCAAAAAAATAAAAAGGGCTGGGGATGAGCTCAGTGCAAATGCCTTGGGTTCAATCCCAATATGGCAAAATGTTTTTTTTAAAACGCAGGCTGACACTGTGTGTTTTCCACACATCTACAGTCCTGTGGGAGGAGCACAGATCAACCTCTGCACAGCCATGCTCAGAGCAAGAGCAAAATGGATGCTTCTGTCTCTCAGGGCCTGGGCCACTGCTAGACACACAGTCATTGGGTAATTTCCCACCCAGGAACATCAGAGGATGCACGGTAGCAGACACGGTGTCTGTCCTGCCCTTGGGAGCTTCTGTCTCATGGCGATGTACTAGGAAACCTTTACGCTGACATCAAATGCCCTGGTACACACACAATTTTATATGGCACAAGTCAGGTTGCAACCTGAACCCACTTCAGTCTGGCTGGAGCTTGCTGCACCCATGCTGACCGAGTCCCCTGCCTGGCCAAGCAGAGATGCGTGGGCAAGGGGTCCCCTCAAGGATGAATACAGTGATGAGGACAAACAGCAGGAAAGGCCTGGCCCAGCAGCCCTGTCCTATGGAGACCCAGGCAGATGTGGCCAGGGCTTACCACGCAAGGGGGACACAAGACGATCCTCAGGATTGGCGTGGGGGATTACGTGACTTATGGAAGTACAGAAATACTTCCTGTGGCAACAGCCATGCTGAGTCCTGCTAGGGACACCTGGAAGGCGGTGTGGTCACTGTGCAAGATACAATCTGTCACCATGGGCAGGCTATGCAGAGAGAGCCCATCCTAGGGGACACTGACCCTCCCTGTCCTCCAGGACATCAGCCCTGCTTCTCCCTGAGGGCTCTGGGGTGAGCTCCATGGATTCAAGCTATCACCGAGTCCCACAGCATGGATTCCAGCAAGCAAGCGTGGAAGGGAAAAGAAGCAAAGCCTCCCAGGACACTGGGCAGGACCTGCCACTAGAAAGGCCCACCGGGAATGCTAAAAATAGTGGGTGAGGGGAGAAACAGACTGGGTGTGGTCGCCCACACTCATAAGCCAAGCACTCTGGAGGCTGAAGCAGGACTGCTGTGAGTTCAAAGCCAGCCTGAACTACACAGCAAGATGCTATCACTGAAGACAAAAAAGACCAAAAACAAAGAAGAGAGGAGAACCAGTCATCCCTTGGCATTCCCAAGGAACTGGCTCCTGGACCCCCTACAGGAAACCAAAGTCCTTTATATAACATTGTGTATTTGCATATAACCTCAGCACATCCTCCTGTATACTTTACATCTCCTCTAGAGTCCTTATAATACCTAAGACAATGCAGTGTCTAGGGATAATGACAAGACAAAAATACACACATTCCACTGCACATGCAATTTTTCCCTCAAATGTTTTCAACCTGAGACCAGTGGAACTGAAAATGTGAAACTGGAAGCTAAGAACGCTGGGGAAGAGAGGGCTGACCACATTTTGTGTCTCACAGTCCCCTCCCCTGAACGAGCATGACTCTCCCTGTGGGCCCGTGGTACAGCCCACACATTCCCTGACCGCCTGCCAGAGGTGGGGCCCCTGCTCCTCACCCAAGGTAGCCGGACAGACCTATGTGTGGGGCAGGAGTCCAAGGCACCTAGATGCCATGCCCCTGAGGGCACCTCCATGGTGCCTTCTCCAAACCACACCCCAACAGTTGGGAGAAACCACCAGACACTATGAAGCACCTGACTAGGTCTCTCCAGGTGTGCCAGGCCAGGGCCAGGGACACATGGAGGAGCCATGATACCCTAGTGCACTACGGGGTCTGGGGCTGAGAACATGGGCGGGCAGGGCGAGGGATGCCAGGTGTGGTGTGGGTCCAGGTAACCGTGCCCAATCCATGGGGCACACAAGGCTGGGTGAGGCACGAGAACCCTCTGGGCTATGCAGTCTACTCTTCTGCAAATCCCAAACTATTTCAAAATGCAAATAAAAACACCTGGCAGAGGGGATAAGAGCATTAGGATGTGTCGTGCACATCTGCCAACTGCCTGCGATGAATGTAATCACTACGTACAGAAACAAGTTCTGATAAAAACACCCGGTGGGCAGTGCATGGTGGCGGCAGGGTGTGTTGAAGACTCCTCCTTTCCTGGATGATCTCTGCCGGCTCATGTGTGTGTGCAGCCCGAGGGTGGGTGGCAAGGGACATGGCGCGTGGGGAATGAGCCACCAAAGCTCCCTTCTCAGCGCTGCACAAGCTGGGCCTTGCTAGTGAAGGGCACTGACGACAGACACATCCTGTTCCTGGGCCCCAAGAGGGCCAGACGAAGTGCACCTGCCTCATGTGCTCCAAGGGAAGCAGATTCACGACGGGGGCCGTTTCCACACCCAGGCTCACGGCGGCATCAGGCACAGCAGGCAAGAGATGTCTAACCACAGGTGAACGGAGAAACAGACACGGCCCGTCCGCACAATGGAGCATGACATTCCGACTTAAAAACACTCAGCCCCACACACGCCAGGCCACAGAGGAAGCCCGGGAAAATGGCAGGGAAAGAAATAAGACAGCACAAAAGAATACTCATGCGGAGCACCTAGCACCATCAAACCCAGGACAGATGTAAAGTGGTGGGTGCCAGGGAGAGGGGAACGGAAAATCTGGTGTGCGGGCACAGTTTCAGAGGTTTTGAGGACGAGAGCGTGATGGCTGTGAACACTGTCAATGTACTTAATGCCACATCAAAACGGGAAAGAGGAACAGCGGGGCTGTGGGCAGTGAAACATCTGCCCCAGCTGTAGTGAAAGGGAGGGGCCAGGTGCCGGTCCCTTCCCAGCTTGCTGGGCCCTTTCGGGGCTGCCCACTGGCTTGGCACAGGTGAGGCTGCCAATGTGGGAGTGGAAGGCGCTGATCGCTGAGCAGGTCCAGTGCCACGGAAGCACAGCGGGGCAGTCGTGCACAGGACTAACCTGTACCTGCTCCCACACGGGGCCCTCCTGCCTGCCTTTGGGGATCGGCACCACATGCTCTGGAATCTTTTTTTTAATATCTCCAGCCCTTTAAAAAAAATTTTTTTTTTTGGTACCAGGGATTGAACTCCGGTCCTTGCGCTCGCAAGGCAGGCCACTGAACCGCTGAGCTAAATCCCTGGCCTAAAAATATTTTTTATTTATCTTTTTACTCATTAAGTTTATTGGTACTTTTTAGGTATACAAGACAGATACATTCATCATTGGGATCTTGTACCTTTACATGATGTAGCTTTGTTCTTATTTTTTCCCCATTCCCCTGCCCTCCCTTCAACCCCTCCACCCTTGCCTATTTACAAAGACTTTGTTTCCATTTTTTCCTTTTCTCATATTTATTCCTTTCCTTTCTTGTCTTTCCCCTCCCACCCCACCCCCACTTCCCCTTCCCATTTGGACCTTTTCTTCCTATTTCACATTATCTATTATACATTTTGATCCTTATTTACACTTTCTGTTTCTCACACCAGAGAAACTATTCGGTATTTACACATGTGTGTCCTATTAATTTCACTTAAGAGTATGGCCTCAATGTGCATCCACTTAGCTAGAAACGTCTCTAGTTTCTCATTCTTTATGGCTCAGTAGTACTCTTTTTATAAACCACCCCCCTTCTTTATCCAATCTCCAGCTGATGATGCCCTGGAACCTTTGACACTTAGGGTCCTGAATTCACTCTGATGAACCCCAAACACGGTGGAGGCCTCCCGAGTGGAGCACCGGCCTGGCTGGCAGCACAGCAACCCTGGAGCAGGGCTCCAGGGGTGAGGCCAAGTGCGGCAGGTGAGCAAAACCACCTACCCTGCTCATCCTCGGGCTCCTTCATGCGACACTAGCCCTGGAAATAGACGTATTTTACAGTGGCTGAGAGGGGAGGCGATCAGGGCACAGCTATTTGATAACCAGCCCCAGGCTCCTAAAGCCTTGCAGACACAGATAAAAGGGGAAAGGATGAGAACCCTAGGGAGAGGATTACAAATAGTGCCTGTCCGAGAGGTCAGCCCGGGTCCTGCCGGCCGCCCCTTCTTCTGCCTGTGTCAAACAAGAGACTGGCAGTATAGAGAGTGGAAAAGTTCAGTTCTGCCCAAGAGCCAGATTTTGGAAGCAGGGGTGCGGGCGAGAGGCCAAGTGCAGGTGGCACCAGTAACTGCAGGTATAATGCAGGGCTCATCTGCTCGGCAAGTCAGGGTGGGAGACCCTGACCAGGAGAGGGAGGGCACGGGGCGGGGCCCACTCCAGGGCCTCTCGTCAGGCAGCCTCTCCCAGAGGGCAGATGCAGCCCTGCTCACAGGGCCCCTGGCATCTGCTCTGGGCTGAGCCCCATTCCCAGGACTGTGCAACTCCCTGCTTCATCCCAGATTCAAACCTGCCAGCCCTAGGCATTTTTTTGAGGCCACTAGGGACACACAATTGGGACCAAAAGCTACAGCCTGCGGGCCACACAGCCTATTGGCTCTTTCTGTACAGCCCTCTAGCTAAGGAAAGGGAAAGATGGAAGGGTTGGGTGACTGACTGTTGTACTGGGAACTGAACTCAGGGCTGTCACACTGAACTATTTCCCAGTCCTTTTCTATTTTTCTGAGACAAAGTCTTGCTAAATTTCCCCGGTTTGGCTGAAACGTGGCAACTCCCTGCCTCCCAGTGTGTGTGCCACCACACCCAGTGGGGTTTTACATTTTTAAATGGCTGAAAAATATCCAAATAATATATTTTTTGCCCCGAGGCTTGTGCAAAGCTCAGGGTCCACAGGTAGGTGCACTCATCTGTGTCTCTGCCACAGCCACACGCAGCTACCATGGCAGAGATGAGTGTGTGCCCCAGCATCCAGCCCTCACAGCCCCAAATGCTCACCAAGACAGACAACCTCGGACCCCAGACACAAAAAGCTGCCCAGTGTGGCAGCCGCCTGCTGGAGCCTCTTTACCTTCTTTGAGGAGAGCAGCAGAGTCTGCACCGGCTCGGAGTCCTGGAAAATCTGAGTCTCCTCTATGATGTGCATCTCATTCTCGAGGCTCACAGCTTTGTGCAGGGCTCCCCGATCTGCAAGGTCAAAGGCAAGGTGAGCGAGGCAGCCCTGGAGGATACACCAGATTCCGACTTGCACAGCCAATGCTCACCCTTTACATGCTCAGTGAGATGCTTAGGAAAGAGGGGCAACTTTGCATTAGAAGTGGCAAAATAAAATGACTTGAAACAAGTGAGGGGTTATTCTGATTTCCTTATAAAGAATAAGCCCTGTTCCATGGTTGATTCCAACAACCTTCATCCTCAAAGACAACATGGTGACATAGGGAGCCAGATCCCAGGTATGCTGGCTTTGTGGTCAGGTGGGGAGGGCTCATCCCTGGTGAGGTCCTAGCAGGCAGGCGAGGGCAGGGCACACAAAAGGTCAGCTGGGAAGCTGCCAGGGTGGCCCACGGTCCCTATTCCAGAAACACTCGTTTCAGCTCAAGGTGAAGGGAGGTGCCTGTCCCAAGCAGGGCAGAACAGGGCAGGTCTCAAACCTTGCAGAACAGGACAAGGTCTCTGGCAGTCAGCCAACGCCAGGCTGACAGCTCCCCCAGGCCACCTAACTCAGCAGGAGTGGGGCCTCTTTTGCTCCAGCCAAGCCCAGGTCCAGGCCAGGACTTGCAAATCAGTGTACCAGGTGGCCACTGGTCACGGAAGCCCAGCTATGGGGACTTCCTGTGAAACCTTTCACATAGTCACACTTGGGTCACATTCAGTGAGAAGCCAGAGCCACCCACAAAAGACTAAGTGGGTTTCCCATTATCTTCCATGCTGTGACAGTCTCGCCCTTGCTTGGCACCCACCTGTGCTGACAAACATGACATCATAGATGGTCCCATCCAGCGCCTGGGTCCTGTCCACCACGATCTGGGTATAATTCACATCCTTTTTGATTAACTTGGGCCTGCTGTCTATTGGGGTGACCGAGTCGTCCATCAGAGGGTGGTCTTTGACGAACTGCAGCGTCTTGTCAGGTAAGTTGAGAGAGCTGGTGTAGTTGGCTGCCCGCGCCTCGCTGTTGATGCACTGTAGGGCCAATCACCACCATTACCATGCAAGCTCACTGCCAGCCCGGCACCACTGCACGGCATCGAACCCACAGCAGCCACAGAACAGGGAACCATGGAACAGGGGAATTCTCAAAAGCCAGCTGAGGTCGCCTTGCCCGAGGAATAGGAGGAACTATTATTTTATGGTCCTGGAGGTTGAGCCAGGATCTTGTCACGCCAGGTTAGTGCTCCACTCTTGAGCTATACCCCCCTTTTATTCTCTACTTTGAGATGGTCTAAGTTGCCCACGATGGCCTTAAACCTGTGATCCTTCTGCCTCAGCCTCCCAAGTGACTGGAACTACTGTCAGTCTAGGAGACAACATGGTATTAAAGTATATAACACATAATTGTTTCATGATACATAATTAGTGGAGGAATTTTTATGTATTTATAGATGCTCACCAAGGCTTTGAAAATGAAAACTACTTATCACTCAATAGCTTTCCCACAAAAAGGGAAGCCCGCTAAGCACTGCTGAAAAACAGCCCAATTTTAACACCACGAAAGGCTAAATAGGAAGGATATTTTTCCCCCGTCCTAGTTTTCTGCTGTGCAGAAACCAAAACCCTCTATCACCAGTGACCACGTTCTCACTGAATAGCACGCACAGAAGGAATGAGGACCAGGTCAGGGCCAGAAACCCAAGAGGGCGCTGGTCTTGGGTGGGGATCTGAGGACCAGGTCCCAGCCCTATCCAAGGGCCACACACGCACACGCATGCACACACACATATACACACAACACATGGGGAAAACTCTGTGGGCGGCCAAGTCAGTGTAAAAATATTTTTAGCTAAAATTTACAATTTTTAGCTAGAAAGAAACGTATGAACTAGTGCATAGGACAGCTTGTGAACATGCAGCACACTTGCTGGGAAAACATGTGAAAATGAAGGACCTGTTATGCAATGCTCATTTCACCCAACGGCCCCTGCCCGCCGCCACCAGTGGCTCAGTTTCCTGTTTGGCCAGGGTGTAGCAAGAACTGTGACACAACATGTGGATGCCGAAGGGACAAAGGGCAGAGCCTGAGGCCCAGCGGATGCCCGGCGGGTACAGACAGAGAGCTGCAGGCAGCTGGGCCTGGGACAGGGAGGATGGCCACCCAGCCCACGCCCGCTCACCGCTCCGGGCCGAGGCGTGGGCACTGGGCCGTTGTAGCGCACCCACTTGGTGTGGGATTGCTCCACCGTGGCGCTCTGCATGTACTTCCCGCGGGAGAAGACGGCCTCCGCTGTGGACACGTTGTAGGCGCACACCGCCGACAGCCCCACATTGTTCCTGGGGACAGGAGGCCGAGTGAGCGAGGAGGAAGGCAGCAGCAGGCCAGAGAGAGGGGCACACCCTGCCTGCCAGGCCACCCACCCACCGGCCCACGGTGCTCACAGCTGAGGGGTGAAGAGTGCGTAGAACACCGGCTCCTTCAGGCCCGGAGCCCGCAGCACGAACACATCCCGCAGCACGTTGAAGACTAGGCCGCTGTCTGGCCGGGAGCAGATCAGTCGGGCCTTCAGGAAGGAGGTCCACTTCTTCTGCAGGGTCCTCAGGCCGCCCTGGTCCCCCTGAAAGCCCAAGACAGGACATGGCAGGGGAGTGGCAGGGGCCCTGCAGTGCCCTGTGGAGTGAAGGACAGGTCCCTGACTGCGGCGCTACATCTAGGTAGGCTCAGAAACAGACAGACAGGAGCGCTCGCCCTGGAGACGCACCTGAGGATGGCTGAGACATCACAGCCCCGACCTCCCTGCTGTGCCGCCACCCTCACAGCTCCAACCTGTGCTGGCCTTGACCCTGAGTCTCCCAGATGAGGCACTGCAGCCTGTCTCGGAGGCCGTAGGAACATGGGACGTCCCTGCTGTATACCCACCGAATATGGCAAAAGCATTTAGGACCTACTAGGCTCTTCTTCAGTACCTCCTGATGGTCTGAAGATGCAGCAACAGTGACAAAGGCACCTGACTGCAGTCTGGATGGAAACGGTCGTGCCCCTTTACCTGCAGTGCCACCTTTTGCAATTTCAGTCCTCTACACTCAGTCAGTAACAGTCCAAAAATACTACTTTGACTCTTGAGGGAAACCACGTCCACTTAACTTTTATTATAGTGCATTGTTACTATTACACTGTTACTGTTACAGTACTTGTTACAGTGCACTGGTGTATTATTATTGCTAATCTCTTACCGCGTCTATTTTATAAGTTAAACTTGAAGGCATAACATGTATGCTCCCATTTAACTAGTAAGTTAGTTACAGGAAGGAACAGAGATGATATAGTTTTGTAGCAGTCTGTGTTTAGGCTCCACACTAGGCTCCAGGCACGCAATGGGGGTCTTAGATCTGTCCTTAGGGATAAGGCGGGACAAGTGTATTGGAACTAAGAAATCTGAATGCAGAAGAAGATAAAATTAAAAGGTCCTTATCTATTTTGGACCAATGAAAACATACCTCCTTCTCATCTTTACTGTGTCAGAGGAGGATTGTTTTCTTTTTTTTTAAATGAAAGAACTTCACTCTCCTCCTAGTGTTCTATGAAATATAATCACACGGATCCACAGCCACTCTCCTCACTGGCCTTTAGTCTCAGGAGCAGCCAAAGGCTCCATGTGCACGGGTTGGGGAGGTGAGGAATCAGGTTATGTTCGCTGGTCTCAGTCCGGCAATGACAACAATTGTTGGAAAGCAAAGGACTCTGTGGGGACAACGAATGTCTACCTGCAGGGCTATGGTTTGCATCTGGGTCTTGTGTGTGAACATCCCTGCAGGGCCCAGGGCTGGGCACCATGGCCAGCGTCAAGGCCATGCCTCGGCTTCCTTCTGGGACCAGAGCTGCAGTAGGGATGAGAACATTGACCCCTCTGGCTTGCAGGGCTTTGAGAGCATCCTGCCCCACCATGCAACCCCGGGACAACACCTGGACACTGGGACCTTTGCCAAGGTATCTCCATGTCAGCAAGGCAAAGAGCCAGGTGGCCATGGTGGGGGACACCGGGGCACTGGGTTGGGAGGCCTTGGCTAGAGACGGTCTGGGCAGCCGGTAAAGCAAGACAGATGTTTGGCTACACAGGGTGCCCACTGGCAATATGTGGGGTGGACTGTGAGGGAGGGGCGTCAAAAGCACTGGAGTGTTTCAGGTGTGAAGTACTTGCTTCTGCGATACAGTGTTCAAATAACAACTGCTACACAAGAAGGCCATGCAGCACGGAGCATCCAATGACTTCCGAGGTGTGAATGTCCGCCGTCCCTGAGCTGAGCAGCTGCCAGCGACCGCTGCTGTGTGCACTCCCTGGCCCCCCACAATCTGGCATCCTGTCTCCGACACTGTGCCTCTTGATGTCCTAACTCTGCCTTATGCAATCTGTCAGTTACCATTTCTCTGTCAGGCTCCCTGAGGAACCCAATGATGAGCTTCCAATTCCAACAGAATCCAGTGAATCCAGTTGACAAAAATAGACTGGTAGGGGATGGGGAGGTCTGAGGGAGGGCATCAAAAACCAAAATCTCTGGAGAACCGTTAAGTCAGTCGGTCATATCCAGTGCCAGTGGCCCTGGGTCCCCAGAGAAAGGAAGACCAGGCACCTGACAGGCCCTGTCACCAGTGATGTCTGTGGCACAATGGATGCAGTGGCAGGAAAAGTGAGATTTCTGATGGAGGCTGGCAGGGGCTGCCACCACAGTGGGCTCACCTTGCACACCCTGGCGATGCGTGGGATCATCAACTTGAAAACAAACTCGTACTCCACTGAAACCTCCGTGAAGAAGAAATACACCCTGTCGTCCTCACCCTCCACGCCATCTGGGCTTCTTCGGATCACATCAGCAAAGACAAAACTCGGCTCTGCCAAGAGACACACCAGATTACCAGCTCTCCTGCCCACATCCCATGGCGTTGCAGGCTGGCAAACGGGGCCTGCAAGGACTTCTGCAGTGTCTGACAGCAGGGGAATGATGGCTGGGCTGAGCCCAGATGCCACTCCTCTGTGCTGCCCTCCTCAGCCTCTGAAAGTGGTCCTCGATGGTGACCTGCCTTGTCCACTGTAGAGCCTAGGTGGGGTGGCCTGGCTGGGAGGCACTCTGGGGGCTGCAGGGATCAAACAAGGGCCCCTGCACATTCCAAGCACAGTGCAGGTGCCTAAGACAGCTTGGCTGCCCACACTAAGGAGCAGCCAGCTGATTTACCCCAGAGCAAGATGCTTTGAAGAACTCCAGGGGCCCACTGGCCAGCACTGCAAAGAAATCCCTCACAGGCAGCCTAAAGTCAGCACTGCTGGGTGTAACAAGGCACCGGATCCCTGACCAGGTGCTGGAGGCCGGGTATGACTCTGTGTTTAATATCACACAGGAGAAGACACCGCAGCCCAAGCTGATCACTCTCAATGTACCACCAGATTCCCACTTCTATTAAAGTCCATTTTCAGGGCAGGGGCCCCTGAGCAGTACTAGAAGTATCCTTCACTGCCCTGGGGTTGACTCGAGCTTGGGATCTTCATAGCTCAGGCACAAGGGAGAAATAAAATGGTATACACACCCAGGTGAAAAGCCCTCTGCCAAGTGGCTACGCTTCTTACCATTCAGCCAAGGGATTGCATACTCTGTTCTCAGTGGACTGTGGGAAGAATTTCGGGAGATGATGGGTTCGCTTCCTAAAAAATTATACGATGTCCCAGAATACAGCTCTCCATCTGCAGCAAGCAGGAAGAAAGAGGAAAAGGAAATCAGCCCTGCAGCTATGGCAACAAGACTGGGACAATCACCCAATAACTACGTCTTTACAACCTCATCACCACCCCCACCACCCCCAACCTGGTAGAAAGGGCAAACAGTCTCCAGGCTGTGGGATGCACGCTGCCACTTCTGTCTTGCATATCTGGATAACTGTGTGTGCCACGTTCAGCTGCCTTTGACAAGTTAAGGGACAACAACTAAACCAAGCAAGAATGGCCTGCATCCAGTACAACAGGTGCAAACAGACTCAACTTACAAGGAGGCTCCAACCTGATAAGCCTAAGTTGTAAACAATCTCAGGCTAAACTGCATTTGCTACCATGACCTACAAACTCCAAGCACAGTCTGGCCGCGCAGCTGGGTGGAATCGGCTCACACAGCCTGCTCTGTAACACAGTGCTGACTACTTACTGTGATTCACTGCATGCCAAAACAGTGGTAGTGGGTGACCCTCATCAAATCGAAAGATCCTAAGTGAACCACTGGGTCTGCAGGGTTCCCAGCCCACTAGCAGTAGATGCTCAGGACGCCCTCCGGGAGGCAGCCGGTGGTTCCCTTGCTAACCTGACCGTCACACAGGAGCTTGTCCTCTGCACCAAGACAGCGCAGCAGTGGCAAACAGAAAGTAACAGCAGCAGTGGCCGTTATCCCTCTGAACAAGGGGATACAGCTCACTAACAAGACTACACACAGGGACACACACATTGTTTAACTGCGGCTTCATGTCACACACTGAGGAGGAAAGAAGGGCCAAGTGTCCTGTTAGGGACACGGCCCCAGCTGGAACCTTCAGGGGAGAAGGAGCCTGAGCAGACTCACCGACCATGACAGACGTGTAGCTGTGCGCTGGGTCAAATGGACACCTTCCTTTGCCATCTTCATTTTTCCCCAGAAACTTAAAGGATGTTAAATTCTATAGTTGAATAAAAAGAAAGTACATCATAAAACGTCTGATTCTGTATCACTGAATTCTGCAGGTTCTCTATTCCTAAAAGACCCCTGGTCCTTTTTTCTCCCCCCTGGTCCTTTTAAAGGACTGAGTAAATGGGTGCTGAGCCACGTGGGTCCTGATCAGGTCTGCACACCAGCACCTTGGCCAGGCTACACGAGATCTCTGAGCCTCTGTTCACTCATCTGCAAAATGGGCACACCACTGTTGATGATTCGGGGGTTGTAAGGAGGCTGGGAGATCCACACAAGGATGTACTCAGTGAAGGGACCAGAAGTCATGTGTGCAACCTTGGTACCCATGAGCAAGGGGATTATCCAAGTAACAGATAACACAGATGGAAACAGCAGAGCCCCTCCTTCCCTCCACCCATCACCACACATTTCAGATGGACAGGAAAAGCAAAATCGAGCTGCACCAGGAGAAGGTGCAGGCGGTATTCTAACCTTGGGACAAGCTCTCTTTACTTGCCACAGACACCGAAGTCGATACGAGGAAAACAACTGACAGATCTACTACTATATAAAGGACTAGAAAGCTCTCGTACAGGGGAAAACGGGACACAATTAAACAGTAAGCAATGAACGGGGGAATGCCCACAGAACGACAGGTGTGTGTTTCCATCTCTGAAAACAGGACAGACATGTACAAACTTGAAGGAAGAGCGTCCAGGGTGAAAACAGGCAAAACCGGCAAGGAAAGAACCACCCTGAGGACGAGCCTGCCAGAAACCCAGGAGCAGCCAGGAAGTCACAGTGGAGGCCTTGTGGCCTCCCAGCCTGGAGGAGCTCGGAGGATGGAGCGCCTGCAGGAGGAGCCATAGAGAAAAGCCGTTGGGAAAGGCGAGAAGGCCTGGGGGTCCGGAGCAGCTGCACCCCACACACCTAGCATCTGCAGACCAGTTCAAACAATTCAGTCTCCCATCAGGCTAGGAGACATGAGTGGGGTGATACTGTGCTTCCCTTGACAGGACCCATACATCACACCTCTAGAATCACTGGGAAAAGCTGGACAAGGGCCGCAGGCTGGGTGACCCTGGGGGTTCTGGTTATTTTCTTAGCTACAATGTGAAATTAATTACGCAGGAAAACAGCATTCTTTTTTATTTTGAGACACAATCTGGCCAAGTTGTCCAGACTGGCTTCCAAGTTGTGATCCTCCTGCCTTGGCCTCCCAAGCAGCTGAGACTGTAGGTGTGCAGAACCACGCCTGGCTTGTTATTCTTAGGAGATATTTGCAAAGGCACTGAAATCACAGATCATAGTTCAGCCAGCACACACAGCATGCACACTCAGACACATGGCCTCCTAAGTGTGAACTCTGGGTAGTTAGTATACAAATGACCGACTTTTCTGCAGGTCTGAACATTTCTAGTAAATGTTTCTGGAAAAATTGTAGGTTTAGGTTTAAATGAAATATACTATCCTCTACCTTAACCACTGACACCTCCAGAGGAAAGACAGTGCTCTAAGGTTCTAATTAACTAGAGTTAAGCCAGGAAATCCTTGGATTTACAGAACACTTCTGTGATACAACTGCATTTTTTTTCTTGCATTTAAACAAAAAGAAACATCTACCTTAGGGGCTGACAGTTTTATTACAGAAGACCCTGGCTCCAATTACGTACCAAAGTTCCCTGCCTGCATCTGTAAGTAGAGACAGCCAGGTGAACCCACACTGTGGCTGCCATTCCAGATATCTGTGTCCAAGGACCAGGTTCCTACACCAGTCTCTAATGTGTTCCTACTTTGTCTTATTTCTCTGAAGCAAAGTCAGAATTGTTTTTTTCCTGTGCTAGGGATGGAACTTAGGGTCACTAGCACACTAGGCAAGCACTCTATCATCAAGATCTATCCCTAGCCTAAAAAAGGAGTTTTTTTGCAACTCCAATCAATTTAGGGTTCTAAGAAACCAAGCTTTACAAAGCAGGTGTCTCTCCTTTTGCACGGTTGCTCTTTACCTACTGTCAACTGCTGTTCTGAGCAGCAGGATGGAACCTAGTGCCACCCTGCTGTCCTGCCAGGAGGTGACTCACCCCTCTGTCTGGCATTCCCACATGGCATATTCTTCCTGCTCGCTGGCTACTCGTAGTTATCCTGGTTCTCAGGTGCACTGTACAGGGTTGGACACAGCCCAAGATTCTAGCATCCACTGGTGGGGGGTGCTGTGTGTCCCCAGCAGATGGGGCATTTGCTACGTAGCACATTTTAGATTTGTCAGGTACCCAGTTTGTCCAGGGATGGTCACTGAAAATATGCTTTATTACCAGTCACTCCAACTAATTATTTAAAACACTTCTCTTTCTGTCATCAAATTGCTCATTTGATTATCTAAATAAAAACAACCTTTCCTAAAAGAATGAGACGCAACAGGCCAATGTCCTTCTGTCTGGCTGGTAAGGGGTAAGGAAGACCCTTCCTGAGGACCACGCCTCAGAGGCAGGGATGCCACTCAGGGTCAAGGATATGGCACAGGGAGGGATGAAAGGTGGTCCTGCCTCTCAGTGCACAGAGCAGGCAGATCCAGGGCAGAGTGAACAGCAAAGGCTGATGCTGAATGGTGACCTCTGAGACCTGCTGACGTGCTGACGTAGGGGCAGGGCCTCATTTCCTTATAGCCTGGACCCTGCAGCCAGGCCTTCCTCACCAAACACGTGGGAAGGAGGAGGCAGCAGGGTGCTGGGATCCTGGCAGCAGGGACATGCACCCGTCAGCAGCACGCCTTTAGGAATGCCTGCTGTGGCCCGCTCTTCACCAGAAGCTCTGACCACTGACCAGGTGGGCCTGTAGACACCGGGCACAGGGGAGGAGTCTAAGGACTTACCAGGTGGTCACAGGTGGGCTGGAAGGCGTTGGTCCCACACACATACAGGGAAGTGGAGCTGAGTGGCTGAAGCACTCGGATGTAGTTGAGGCATTCTGTCTGCAGGGGTGGGAGGGAGAGGGAGGGAGAGAGAGTGAGTCACAGCCTCTATCCAGAGAGAAACGCCTGCCACGACTCACACTGTGGCCTCGTCACCCTGGCAGGCCCGGCACCTGAACAGGTTAGCTGGCACACGTTCCCACACAGCAGGCGTCACTCACTCCCTGTGCGGCCCAGCACCCCTGACCCTCATGCTGACCCATGTAATGTAAGCTCTGCGGTGCCCACAGGCTGTTTAGGCTCTGGGCAGAATCCCAGTTCAGCCCCTAATTGACACTCAGCAAAGACCTGGCCACTGAACAAAGCAGTGAGAGCTGACCTCAAACTGTCCCAGGGACACCCTCTATAGGAAAAAATGCACGTGACTCGCCAAACACACAAATCACTCTTTGCACTGCCAAGCCTCCCCAAATGTACACCACACAGAACACCCTCTGCCTTTCGAAGGACCCTGCCCTTCACTTCCTGCACACACAGGACTGGAAATAGTGTATCTCAAGGTCCCAGCTCCACTAGAGGGGAGAGACTTGACCATAAAAGGGGGTGCAGCCAGCTGTGCCTCACAAAGGCCCCAGTAGGAAAACAAAAGTGCCATTTAAAAACCCACATGCTATTTTTGGCAGAAAAGGACTTGGATTATAGGTGCTATAGTCTGAAATTAGCTCAGTCTTTTCGCTGACTGTTTTTAAACTGTTGGGATATAATTCACACTCCTCACTGTCCTCCTGGACCTGGACCTGGGCCCCAGTCTGCTGTCCTTCTTCCCCTACACGGGGAAGTGGGAGGACCTGGTCCCATTCCGCTCCAGACAGATCCTGAAGGACCTGTGATTCTACCACAATACCTGGCAGCCCCCACATTTCCTAAGGTAATGCTCGATTTAGGGGCAAATACTTCCATGTACATGTTCAGGACTTCCTTGCTAAGAATGTTTGTTTTGTTTTTGGTACCGGGATCAAACTTGGGCCTTTGCGCTTGCGATGCAGGCGGCAGAACCAGTGAGCCAAATCCCCGGCCCTCTTGCTAAGAATGTTTAGCAAAAAAGAATTCCTTAGGCTTTTTGTTTTAATTTTTTTGGTTTTGAAACTAGCCAGAAACTGTTGAAATTGATCATGATTCAGCTGCCACCACCAATAACCCTTGGGATCCCTGAGCTCCTGGGGTCTGAGAGTCTGAATGTCTGCCTAGCTCCAGGCAGGGACACAGGTGTGCAGTGCAGTGCCAGGACAGCACCTTGCCAGCACTTCCTGAATGGGCATCATGCTGAGGGGTGGACATGTGCCACATGCCCCCACACTAGCAACCCCTTGGGCCTGAGGCTGCTCACTGGGAAGGCAGCCCAACAAACCCTGAATTTCACTCCATGTGCCAGTGAGCATCAGAAATTGTTTTTTTAGTCAAAATCTCAGGCACTCCAAATAAATTCAATTCACATGAACGAAAAACTATTTCTTGAATGCTGACTCTGCTTGGCTCTTGAACTGAGAGTGACAATCCTCATCCTCAGGAACAGAAGGACACGCTTTCAGGTGCTGCACGGTACCACTGGGCCCGCTGACACTATCCAGCCCTTTCACAGGCCAGGCCTGCATGTCATAGCCATGGCAATGGAAGGTCAGAATGACTGAGAGATGCAGGGTGGCTTTCTCTAGCTGCAACAGGAATTACCTGTTTGGATTTCCCCTTCTCCGCACACTTTACTTTTTTCTCTTCTGAGACTGCCCAGTATACCTGTGGAGGAGGAAATCAGAGTCCATTGAAGAAAAGCTACAGCTATAAAAAATGCAATTTATAAACCATATGACAGTGCTCAGAGCCCAGAAGTGTCTCCTGAGCAGACAGAGGCTCAGATTGCAAAGGAGGCTAGAAAGTAGGCAGGTGCTGATGCCCCAGAGCTACCTGGACCTTCCAGAATGTTCTGTGCTTCTCACTGGAAATACGCAGGGCCTGGAAAGCCTTTCCCACAGCCCCTTTAATCTCTACAAAGAGCAACACAAACGGAACTACTGCAAGGGGGAGAATTCAATTATGGGCCAAAAAGCTAAATCCTGAAGGCTTTCTCTTAGTCCATTCAAAAGCAACCTTATGCAGTACAACTTACAATAGCCAAAGATATGGAATCAGCCTAGATGCCCTGTCAGTGGATGAACAGGGAAAGATAATGTCTGTGCGTACAATTATTCAGCCACAAACATCAGGACCAAGTCACTTGCAGCCAAATGGATGGAACTTTTGGGCATCATGTTGACTGAAATAAGCAAGACACAGAAAGACAAGTACTTCATGTCTATCTCATAGGCAGAAGCTAAAGAAGGCTGACCTGAAAGTAGAATAGTAATTACCAGAGGCTGGGATAGGTGTGGTATAGCTGGACTTGACCAGTGTGTGCTGTAAGGAAATACAGAAAATAGCACACTGAACCTTGCTGACACATACAATTAATTCATACTCATTACAAAGCAAATTTAACACAATGCCTCGACATTGACCCTGTTGGTAAAGGTAGAATTATTGTGCCTGGAACCTATGTGTCTGGCAGCTGATAGTGACAGAGTGAGCAGCACAGTATGAGAGCAGAACCCTCCTTAGCAAGGACTGTGCTGCTGCGTCATCACTAAGCCAGGACAGCCATGGTGTCCAAAACCACCAGGGGGGCACCTGAAAGCCCCGCAGGATGGAAGGGGGATGAGGGCTCCCAGGTTCCGGCCTCACCTTCCCCCAACTGCCCTATCATCCCCCTGTGTGAGGTCCTAAAACGGATGCAAAAATGATAATAACAGGGTATATTCCACTACCCAGCAACTCACACAAGGGTGGGGTTCAGTGGTCAGGAAGCACAGAGCTCTTCAGGGTGTGGGGAGCTTACAGGAGGGGTCCTGCACCATGCCTATATACATGCACACACATCTACACAGTGTGTGCATGGCAGTGAAGTCCCAGCCAGGACACACACAAGTGGACAAGGCTCCAACTCAGCAGTCAGCTGCCTGACAGGGAAGGTAAGCTGTGCTGAAGCCCGGCTGGGGCTCCCGTTTTATCTTTTGAGAACAAAAGGCTACAATGATAGCTCTGAGGACAATGGCCAGGGCTCGGGCACATCCATAGGTCGGGCACACAGTGTGCCCAATTCTGAGACCCTTCTGTCTGTGCAGCCACACAGAGGTGGGGCTTGGAGGAGAAGGGAGAGAGAGGAGAGACCACCAGACTTACTTTTTTATTTAAATTTTAAACATCAGATTTATTTGAAGAAAACAAAACAAAAAATCCACAACCCAAAGGATGGGATTTTACATCTCAAGACATCTCTCAGGTAGTAAGTCTCCAGATTACAAATCGTTTTCACAGAAGATATTTTTAAAAGGTTTTTTTTTTGGGGGGGGGTACTGCTCAGTATACCTCTGTGTGTGTGTGTGTGTGTGTGTGTGTTTGTGTGTATGTGTGTGTGTGTGAAAATGTATATGTATGTGTGTATGTGTGTATGTGTGTATGTATATCGAACTTGGGTCCTTGTGCTTGCAAGGCAGATGGTGGAACCACTGAGCTAAATCCCCAGTCCCACAGAATATATTTTTGTACAAATTTTACATGTATTCAGGAGTGGGACATAAACCAATCCATTTCTGTTTAGTGGGGGCAAGGAAGGGGAGTGGGATAAAATAGCTTTTTTGGATGCAACTCTTTGGAAGGAGAGCAGACAAGAAGAGGGCAAACTTTACCTTTTCATTATCTATAACCAATGGTTTAAAAAGCAAACCCGTTCAACTCAAGGTTATGTCCAAAAGCCCACTTCCTAGCTACTAGCCAACCCTGCCAATTAAGGGTAATTCTCTGGGTATAGCTTTAGTCCACTGGATGAATGGCTCATTTCAGCACACACACCCAACCCCTGCAGGGCTGGAGAGGGTCTAACCTAGGACCATGGGAGAAGAGCTTGTACATAGAGACCAAGCTACCCCCATCTACCAAGAGGACAAATCCCATCTACCAAGCTGACCCCCAAAGCAAAGGTGTATATAGAAGTAAGCTATTGTGTTGGAAGAGAAACCAGGACCTTGTTAAATAGACATTTCATCATTTTTTCTCTCAAGGGAAGCTAAAAACTATACTCCCTCCCCCAAGCAAAAGACCACACTGGTCTAGGCTAAATTATAAATGCAAGCATTGGTGTGGGATTTCACAGACTTGTAAAGAAAAAAAAAACCCAAACCCCACAATCAAGGTTGTAAGAAAAGCTTCCAATGTAACTGTCCCTAATCCATACTTATTTATCACAGATCAATCCAGAGTTTTGTGATCTAGAGAAGGGACCAGAGCAGCAGGAGCAGGCATGGATGGAGGGAAGGAATGAGAATCAAGACACCAAATTGCTGATGTGAGAAAAGCATTGATTTCGTCACGTCACAGCATCCAGTGGCTGACACACAAAATGCCTAAGAGGTCATGTTTGTGACTTATGTAGAAACTAGTCTTCGGGAGGTGAGAGTAGCACGAAGAACATGAGAGATGGCTAAGACTCTGGCATTATTATTATGGATGAGACAGGGTCTCACTATGCAGTCCAAACTGGCCTCAAAACTCACTATGTAGCCCAGGCTGGCCTCAAACGCATGGAGATCCTCCTGTTTCAGCCTCCTGAGCACTGGGATTACAGGTGTGCGCCACAACACCCGGCCCTAAGAGTCTGAATTTGTTAAAGCTTCAAGGTTTCAAAAAAAAAAAAAAAAGAATATATTTCAACTTTCAGAAAGGATAAGAGAAAGGGCAAAACCAGGACGTAAGACTGGGAATTCCCATGACCCTTAAGTGCTTCCTGTTCCAAGAAACAACCATTCACGTGTTTACTGGAGGTCACACCATTTCCCCTTACTACCTGGTGCAAAATAATCTATCACCTCCCAAGAGCTTCTTTCCCAAACACAATTTCCCCATTATTTTGGTCCCAACCAGTCCTATTCCTTAGTGGCCTGTAGACACACTCCCAACTACCCCCCTGAGGGGTGAAAAATGAAGGTATTTCCCCAGGCCAGCCCCAACAATCAGAATTAAAATAAGAGGCAGTGCTCCACCAGCCCCACTTTAAAGTGACCCCTGATGTAATCGCTTCATTCCAACGGATCCGGATCAGAGGCTGTTATGTGTCAGACAAAATGAAGAAGTACATGAGGCCTTCAAGGTACAGATAAAACAAGAGCTCAGCCTGAGAAAATAACCAAGGTGAGCCTGGAACAGCCTGATTCAGGGAGGCAGGCAAGCCACCCACACATCAGGACCCAGAGCCACCCCAGGGGTGCACTGCCAAAGATGATAGACCGGAGCGTCAAATAAGGACCAGGGGCTGAGGATATGGCTCAGTGGTACAGTTCTCACCTAGTACGCAAGAAGCCCTGGATTCCATGCCCAGCACCACCATGTGAAAACAAAAAGTTCAAAGAGAAGAGACGAAAACAGGAAAGTCTTTGGGTGAGGTGCTGGTGGACACTCTGAGATGGCTACGTGGACAGAGGTGTAGAAAGAGGGTCCCTGAGGCTCAGGGTGGGTTGTGTGACACCTTAGGGACAAGGAGAACAGGACATACCTCGTGCTGCTTCTGGGAGATATTGAGCGCACTCACTGCAAAGACTGCTTCCCGGGCACCCACGTATAGGGTGTCCTCATCCTCGCTCATCAGCAGGGCTGAGTAGTTATAGATGCCAGGCTCACGGAACTGCACCAGCCCCACCTCTGCAGGAGGCAAGGGCACCGTCAGAGGCCGGGAGGGAGAAAGAGCAAGCAGTAGTTTTCCAGCCTGTGCACCCCATCTTGGTTATAGCCACATGGAGAGGCTCAGGCAATGAAGGCAACACTCAGGGAGCACAGAAGGCAAGCACCCCTGGGGCAGGCGGCCACCCAGGCAGCAACGCAGCCACCAAGTGTGGCAGCCCCCACCTCCACTCTGTCCCTCAAGATCTTCCAGGTCCAATCCGCACTCGGTGGCCCCAGAGACCCAGGCCAGAGCCTCATTCTGCCCATCCAACCTCTTGTCTAAGTGTCTTTACAAGCTGGTTCTTCAGGAAGGGGCTGTCCCGGTGGTGCTTTCCTTGTGCTTCTGGGCCTCGGTGTACTGTGCCCACTGCTGAAAGGCCACTTACAGTCTGTGCCAAACTCATCCTGGGAGTCTGACCTTGAGCGCTCCTCTCTGAGGCTGCCTGGCACTACTTTCAATAGAAATGACATCTCACCAAAGCTCCATCATTTCATCTCCTGTAGTTGTGCACATTAAACTGAGTCCTTACAAATATAAATCCCACTAGACTAAACCTCCCGGCACCCAAGGCGGTGCCTAGCACACAGCAGGCACCAATAAATTTTAAAAAGCAAGGCAGAAAGAGCCCATGTTAATACTTTCTGTTCTGATTCTGCCGTGCGAAAGGCAGCTGCAGGTCCTGCTTCTGCATGACTGCAGCCTGTGATTCTGCATCAGACACTCCCGGCCCCTACTAAGCACCACCTTGTCCAGAGCACCCAGTACTTCAGCTGTCCATTCACGGACCCAGAGAGACCTGGGGTCCCAGGACGTATCTCCCAGGAGAGGAGAGAACTAAGCTGAGATCAATGGGCAGCAAATGTGATTCACTGGTCTGACACTCAGCCGTGCACACACGATCCATCTTGTCATGCCTCCTGCTCTCCTTACGTGCCTGGGCATACGCTCAGCCAGTACTCGGCAGCTTCAAACAACAAGGATGAGGCAGGATGCTGAGGCACAGGCCTGGGCAAGCCCGACTAGAGCACCTGTCCAAGGTTCCGCGTAGAGCTTTGGCTCATACCCAAAGGTCCAGGGCAGAGACCTCAGCAGCCGAGGACCAGCATGCCCGGGATCCACCCCGGTGTCCTGAGCAGCCATCATTCCTCCATGCACACTGCACTGGTATCAGCTCACCTCTGTGTTCCCAGGTAATCCGGGGTATGGGCGCAAATGCCACGGCCACCTCAAACACCAGCGCCAGGGCCGAGAGCAGCCCCGAAGTGGCACTGCACATCCTCACAGGTGGGGCCTTCGGAGAGGTCTCCAGCAGCAGATGCTCATGGGCAGCAGGAGTTTGTGGCAGGCGTCAGAAGAACACTGCTTAGAGCCCCCAGGCCAGCACCAGCAGCACAGCACAGAGCTGATGAGTGGCAGAGTCCCTAAGAACCCACATTGCCCCGCTTGCCAGGTGAGAAGTGGGCTGTACCCCACCACCTTCGTCCAAGATCACTGCAGCTTCTGCTGTGCCTCTGCAGGAGTCCTGGAGAGGAAGAGGAAGGGGTTAACGTGTCAGGATGGAGGGCAAGCTGCTGCTCCTTGCTCAATAGCCACCACTGTGCTTGTCACTTCCTCTGTCAGGGTCCAATGCTAAGCAGAGCTTGGGAGCCTAGGAGCTTGGAGGCTGCTGCAGGGGACAGCCCCAAACAGACACAGAGGGACACAGCAAGTCATGGTGGGGCATTGAACTTCAATGGGTGTCATTTCTAACCTTTGGGCTCCATCCCATGGTGCCCACTGGGGCCGTAAAGCAGCTACAGAGCACACAGTACCGAGGGTAGTGAGGCTCTGGCCAGCACGGCTCGCCATAGAAACAGGCACCCTTTTCTGTCAGAGGTGCTGTGCTGATGTGGCCCAGATGCCCCAGTACCCAGGGGCATCTGACCCAGAACAAAAACCACATTGTTAATGACAATTAAGAAGCCCGCACACGACCTTCCTCCACCAGTGTCCTCTAACACAGCCTCTATCCTTCTGTCCCACCACACCTGAATGAACACACAGGGCTCAGCGCCTCTGCAGGTGGAGCCCAGGGCATTTAGGGTAAAGAAACTACGCAGTGGCAGACACACGTCATCAGAGACTTGTTCAAACCATACATGGCGCGACACCAAGTGTGAACCCTCAGCTTACACCATCGACTCTGGGTCCGAGGAGGTATCAAAGCAGGGTCATCACCTGTGACAAACGGATGGCTCTGGATGGAAGAGGCTGTGAGTGTCAGGGCTTACGTGGGAATCCCCGCATCTTCCTCTCCAAATAGCTCTAAAAGCCAAAGTCCGCAACCAGCAACAGCAGGGCCAAGGTAAGGCTCAGGTGCACAGTGCTTGCCTGGCACATGCACTGCCCTGGGTTCGAGCCCCTGCACTGCAAAAGGCAACAACAATAAACACCTTGAGGGTCCTGTGGACCACAAGAGGACGAACAGCAAAAGCCTGGGGCCTGGCCCTTGTCCCCAGAGCAGTGACGTGAGCCCCTTGGGTGAGCATGGTTCGTGTCACACTAGACACCACAGACAGCCCTGATCTTATTCCCACTGAGCTCCCCACACAGCAGCCGACCCTTGGGGGCCCAGGAAGTGCTGCAGCTGGGCTCAGAATCCACAGTAGGAGATGAGAGGTTCCTCTCTCCGGACGTCGAAGTCCAGGACACAGAGAAGCACCTTGGTTCTTTCCTTAAGTCCAGTGAAATGGCACCTAAGTGATGCACACTGCAAGGATGAGAACAGAAGGAGGTGACACCCCAGGGGATGTGGACAAACTTCGGAAGCTGGAAAGAAAATGAGTGCGCAGTGCCCAGCAAGTGGGACAGATAGCTCTCCAGGGGTGGCAGAGTGTGCCTTGGGGTGAATACTGCCACCACTCCACATGTGATGTCAGGAGGGGCACTGCACCACTGCACTTCTGCCACACAGACATAACAGACACATACAAGAAGACACACAGCAACAGCACAGAGAATAGATTATAAGCAAGTAAGGAGGCTATTTCACCTTTATTTTAAAATTAATTTATTTAACTTTTATGAGCCTGTAGCGCTGGAGCTCTAATGCTGGCTGTTTGCCCACAGACGCTGCACACTGCTGGTGCCGACTGACTCTTCAGACCACAGAGAGCTAAAGCCAGTGGAGCCAAGCTTTGTTACCCTGTGAGTTCACTCCTCTCGCACACCCTGCCCCTCCTCAAGTGCCTCAGGGCCTTTACATATGCTGTTCCCTCTTTAGGGACAGTCTTCCCCTGGGAGCTCTGGTGTTGACTACTTCCTGCAGTGAGCCTCTGCCCCACCTCCCAGCCCAGGATTTAGTCCTTTCTCAGGCAGGGCCAAACCAGGGACTCTCAAAGATCTCAGTAACAGTACAAGAGCGAGAGCTGGAGAGGACATAGGAGACTCCAAGAGCAGAGTTTCACAAAACAAAGTCTCCAGATGAACAGGTCCCAGATGAATCCTGGTACAGCAATCACAACTGAGCCTCCAGCTCCAGCCTCACCATCCCACACAAATGCATGAGAGAACACACCCTGGGTGTCTCCGCACCGCCTCAGAAGGAGCCAGCAGCTGCAGAGCGGCTCGAAATGACGAGAAGCATGACCAAGAACTGCTGGCGCTCGTGGGAGTAGTCACACTGATTCCAGGGACACGCTGCCCCTCCCCTGGGCAGGCCTGGACTGCCCTCAGGAGCCCTGGTGTGCACCACCTGACCGAGAGGCTGCAAGGCCATGCTTCACCGGGCAGATCCCACACCGAGTGGTGTGCTCTCACCCAGGCCTGAGGTGCAGACCCCAGACTCCCACAGTCCTTGCCCAGACCCTGCTGCTCCTTCTGATGGGCCTCTTGAACACAAAGGTCAGGACAGCACAAGCCGCAGGCTTTCTGACATGAAAAGGTTCTATGCTTTCTTCGTCAACAAGCACTCATCATTTGGTGTGAGTTAAAAAGGCTTGGAGCACAGCACACACCCTACCCACACAGATCCACTACCACTGTGCCTGCCTTCCAGGAACAGCGGCTCTGTGACAAACGAAATGTTGTCACCTCACTCATAACATTCAAGTTAAATCACCCTGGAAAAGCCCCGTTTTGTTTTTGCTGCTTTCTCAAGCACTTCTGAGAAGTGAGGGTAACCCACTGGGAAGCGAGGCTGACAAATGCACATTTTGCAAGGACGGGACTACTGTCGCCCTTTGCATTCAGGAGAAGGACTTGACAGAGGGGCTAACGTCCCTCCCATCAGGCGCATGCAACTGTGCTGTTCTGGAGTGCACTCACTTGCCTAAACGTCAGGAGAATGGAGCTCACCCCGCAATCCCTCCCCACTGCCTGCCAGGCCCTGTCAGAGGGCAGCTTTGTACTTCAGTGGCCTTGAACGTCAAATGGAGTACCAGCAGCCAGCCGGCAAAGGTGGGGGTGGGTCACCAGGCACACGCACGTGTCCAGGTGTGTGCGCGCATTCGTGCCTGTGTGGATCTGTGTGTGCAGATGAGGTGCAGACCCGTGTGCATTCATGGTGTGTGCACCTGAGTGTGAACGTGTACATGTATGTCTATGTTTGCATGTGAATGCATGTGTGCGTGTCTCTGTGAGTGTGAACACCTATATTTATACAGCTGTGTAGGTGCAAGTATGCATCTGTGTGTGCATGCATGTAAGGGTACACACACCTCCCAGACCCTGCACACATGTCCCTCTGATTAGGTGCACGTGTGCATGTGTTGCTCTATTGCAGCAGATACATTCTGATTTAATGCCGAAGCTTAGATGTGGCTTCTCACTGGCAGTTGGCAGCTGGGGTAGCTCACTGAGGGGGGACACTGATCACTTACACTCAGGAGGGTCAGTGCTACTGCTGACATTGAAGCACTCTCTCCAGTATCCTAGGGACTCCAGGACAGGGTGTGCTGTTGGGCTATGGATGGGTCAACCTGAGGAGGGCAGTCATCACCTGCCTGGACTCACCTGGAGGGCCTGGCTGTCTCCTATCCCATGGGTCCATCCAGACAGGGTGGTGAACTGTGTGCCCATGCCAGGACAGTGGTGGATGCGCTTACCATGCCTCCCCGAGCTGGGAGCAGGCAGGTAAAAGGGTGGAGACAGCCATGGCCCTCCTCAACCACATTCTGCAGTGCTGGGGTCTGGCACACAACCTGTTTGAGGTCCTCCGCTCCCTCCCCACTCCCCTATGGTGCTGCTGTCACCTCCCTGCACACTGCATAAAAAGAGCCTATTCTTTCAGGAATCAAGAAGAGATTTGGGAGCTCCCAGGTCACAACTCAATAGCTGCCTGTTGCAACTCCAGGGTTCCCAGGACACAGAGTGGATCCCTGGAGAGCTGCACTCTGACCCTGCAGGATGCACTCAGGCCTACAGCTGCCCTGGGCTGGACCCACGAGCAGGTCATTAGCAGGACTGTGCCAGGATGCACCTAGCAGAGGCAAGCAAGCCACAGCAGGATGCCTCAGACCTGCTTTCATTCTGGTCCATACTGGCACCTGGGCACTCGAGAGCTGATGGGAGGGAACCAAGGTGGGAGAAAAGGCAGTGGGCTCGATGCACACATATCCATCAAGCAGCTGTGACGACAGGGCATATGCTATGTAAGGACAGAAGCTGGGCATGTGGCAGGACCAGAGGAAAGGGGGATGGGGCAGGGGACCCTCACAACAGGGGCCATGTTGCAGAGATGCAAACAGACATACACGAGTGACACAGCACTGTTTTGGGCCAGATGCCAACCACACTGTCTTTCTGCATGGTACGTGGATGTGTGCATAGCACACACATACATCCTTGGGCTCAGACAGGATAGTACTTGCAGAAATAAAATAACCACCTTCTGGGGGCCCCTTGACTTCCCATCACCACCCAAAAGCATGGCCCTGGCTCTCAGGGACAGTGTAGGTCTGCACTGGGCAGTGGCTGGCCAGCCGCTCTGTCAGCCTTAAGACCCTAGAGGGATCCTACAGTTCTATCTCAGTGATGGCTGCTGTGAATGTCTGCCACCCCTAAATTTGCATATTGAATCTTAACACCCAGTGTGAAAGTGCTAGGAGTTGATTAGGTCATGAATGTCCCCATAACAGAGGCTCTAAAGGGCGCTACCATGTGGGCCCTGGAAGAGAAAGGCCGGTCGACCAGTGAGGAAGTAGGCTCTTGCCACACGCTGACTCTGCCAAGAGCCTTGACCTTAGACTTCCGGCCAGCAGAACAGAGAGACTGAAGTTTCTGTTATTTATAAGCTGCCCAGTCAATGTTACGGCACCTACGGAAGGCTGCTCACTCGAGCAAGTCAGCATGCACACCATGAAGATGTGTATCTACCGGGCCGGAGCCAGTGTGCAGAGACAGCCAACGGCTCCCCACACACCCTCCATGTGAAGCAGGTGCAGAGCCCCAGGGTGCTGTGGCCCGTGCTGTGTCTCAGGCTACACAAAGAGACACCCGACAGGGGGGTGGGTGTGCACACACAAGGGCACAGCATGTGTGTACACACACACATGTGGACACCCAGATGCCAGATGTGTGACCTTGGACACATGCCTAACTACTTGACAGTGCAGAGCGCACAGCACTGCTCTGCTTCCAATCAAAGATCCCAAAACATTTCTTTAAAATAAAGCAGCAAGAATCAAAGACGAATGATCTAAGTGGGGAGGGAATTATGAGGAAAATGACACTTGTAACTGAAGTGCCAACCCTTAAAACACCTTGTAAATAAAGTGCTCTCAAACTAGTAGGAAAAACAGTCCCCACTCAAAGATACCAGGTAATTTATTTTTTAAAAAGGTATACATGCCTGCCTCCCAAGGACAAGGACCCGAGTTCGATCCTCAGTATAAAAAAAAACAACAACAACAACAAAAAACAAAAACAAAGGCATACAGCCAGCCACTGCGTATCAAATATGCAAGGTGGCCCTGAAGTGACGCCGCACTGATCAGAATTGTCCAGCACGGCAACACTCAGTCACGTGAAGACCTGGGCTTCTGTGGTGTGCCGGCCAGCAAGTGCACTTCTGAGAGCCAGCACACAATCCTGTACCACTGCCCTGAGAACTACGGGACAGGAGAGCAAAGATGAACTTTTCCTTTTGTTTTTATCCACTATGCTGTTACTTCATTTTTCTCTAAAACTCTACACTGCTTGGGATAACTAAGATTAAACATGAAATGGCTCACATTCCATGTTGAGCGACATCAGAGCCTTTTTTCTTTCTTCTTTCTGGTACCGGGTATAGAACTCAGGCCCTTGCACTTGCAAAGCAGGTGGAGGCACCACTGAGCTAAATCCCTGACCCAGAGCCTTTTTTTTCTACATGGTATCTCACCAACTACCTCTCTTCATCCCTCAAAGGAGAAAAGAAAGGTTTCTGCTTTCTCACTGGGAACCATTGTGCCCTAAGTAGCCAGACAGCCATTGTCCCCTTCCCAGGAGAGGAGAGGCCGAGAAAGAGCTACAGAGAGGCAGGGAGTCAGGAAAATGAAGCAGGAAGAACCAAAGAGGAAAGTCCCCCAAGGCTGACACCACTGCCTGCCACCAGACAGCACAAGTCTCAACTTCTGCCCCAAGGAATGTGCAAGGAGGAACCAAGCACCCCATCATCTGCCAGGCCCCGCTGAGGTTTCTGAAGGGCACTGGCTTTGAGAAAGTGGGAACAGAGATCACAGAACAAAATGATTTACCTGTATCTTGTACTGCTGGAGACTCTGTCCTCTTCGAGACCGGACTCCTCAAAAACCTCTACTCTGAAAACAATGGGAAACAAGCAGGTAAGTCCTTAAATTCCTAAGCCTCATATGCCCAGCATCACTTCTACGAAGCCCTGAAAATAAATCCTTCTTGACACTTTTTAAAACTCTGGACCTAGCAGACAACTTTCCGCCCCAGGACCAGCGTAGCTGGTGTAAAGAGAAGGGAGGTGGCTGGCAAAGGGGAAGTATGGCCCGCCTGTCACCGGTGCAAGCCTCGACCACAGCCACTTCCCTGCAAAATAAGCAGTGTGAATAAGACTTACCATTACAGGCAGCAGAGTTCATGTATCGAAAAGTACTAACTGTCTATTCATCTAGGAAAACACAAGAAGCAAATGGATGCTGTTCCTCCTTTCCCTTTATTTGCAGTGCTTGGGCTGGAGGGCACAGCTTCTCATGTGGTTGGTGAGCATTCTGCCATGGAGCTACAACCCCAGGCCTCACTTTGTTTTCAGAAAGATATCCACTGTGGAGTGACAAGGTTTCTGGAGTATCTGTCACCCCACAGTGTGTGGGACACAGCTCTCCAGACAGGTCTGAGCCCGCGACATCACCAACAATAGGATCAAGATTTGTCTAATCAGCTTGGCAAAACTGGTGGCCTCATCTAGGACCGGAGATAGCTGAGAAGTTGGCCAAAGTGATGCTTTGGCCCCGATCCTAACTGGCCCACATCTGTTCATCTCGGCCCCAGAGTATTCCATGGCAGGTAGGACTGCTGCTGTTCTCCTAGAACACACAACCACCATTCTTTTCCAGAAGCCAGCTGAGAAAGAGGCTCTGCTGAAGGCACAGGGGACACCCTGACCACCCCACCCAGGCCCTCACTGCAGTCCCCCCAGCCCCGGCCCCCTTCCTACCCTGCTCAGTGTCAGCCCATGGGCAGCATGTGGAAATGATCGCTACCCACTAGCTCCAACCCATCCCAAAGTCCCCTATGTCAGTGGCTGCCCCTTTCGGCCAGTTTTATAAGCTCAAGTGTCTTTCCGTGAGTAGCTACAGAAGGCTCCTGGGACAGACCCCACACACCCAGGATCGGCATGCCCACGGAAATGCCAGTGGGTAGTCAGTGCCACCACTGGGCAGCTGGATGACAAGTCCTTTCTCTAGTGGGCATCTGAGAAAGCTCTACAGGGCCCAATTCAAATGAAGCTTTGCTGTCACTCAGGCAGGGACAGGGGACAGCAGCCACCTGCAGATGGTGCCAGAAACACTTCAATGGGAAAAAGGGTTCATAAAAAATGAGTGTTAGGTAAACAAAGTAAATGCCAAGAATTTTGAAGCTGAAAAACTTCTCCGCTCGAGAAATTAAATAAACTGGCATAAGTGAAGTCCCGGCAGAGCTTATTCTACGGCTGGGCAACTCGTGCCACATCCACCACATGGCAGGAATAGAAGGCAGCGGGGGAAGCGAGTCCTGTGACGGGGGAAGAGAGTCCTATGTGTCTAAGTCCCCAAAGCCAGACCCGATCCTTGTCCTCATTGCTGCCTTCCAGCCAGGTCCACATTTAGCCTCTGACCCGCAGCCTCCAGCCCGTGGCCCATGAGTAACCCTTCTGACCTCCTTGGGGATCCCTGGCCCCGAGCCACTGACTTGTCTTCCCCTTCTTGCAGACTGCTTTCTTCTACTTCCTCAACATAAAACCCCACAAGTTATAATCACTTATCACTGTAACCAAGAATGCGAAACACATCCTCCCTGAGTTAATTACCCGCTGCTGTTTTAACTCTGCATTCCTGGCTTCTGATCCTGTAACACAGAAAAAGAGCGTTCCATGGCCTGGTCACAAAATAAAGGAATGGCCCTAATCAGAAGAGACCCTCAAAGAGACCCTAAGGAGTGTGGGGTGAGGCGGGGAACTGCAGCGTGACTACTCATGACCACTAACAACAGCAGCACAGCCTGCCTCTTTCTTGACTCCACTCTGCCCTCAGAATCCCAGCAGAAGCAGCAGCTGTTCCTTGGCATCTGCAGAAGACGTAGGTGGGATGGGACAAGGCAGGGGCCCTGGGTCATGACCACCAGGGCTCCAGGTCTGGCTCCTGCAAGCTGAGTGTTGTTGGAGACGTTATCGAGCCCCTCTGGGACTGATGCTTCATTCAGAAAGTGAACAAACTAGGTTGTTTGGCTGTTATGAGAACTGAAATTAATCTATATAAAGAGCTTAAACAAGAATCCAACACCTACTAAACAATGAGCAAGTATTAACTATGATTCTCAACACCTGTGAAATGCAGGCAGCTACACCCAACTCACTAAAAAGCCTTGGCAACACAAAAAGAAGCAGGGTCAGCTGGGGTACATCTGGCCCTCACTTGCAGCGACTGGGGTGCCACCAGCCTCCAGCTCCAACAAGGGTGGACTGAGTCCACACCACAAGCTCCTGGGAACAGGCTTAGAGACACTGCTGCAGGGCAGCACAGCTGGGGCCCTGGTGGGGCTGCCATGTCCCCAGCTCAGGCCTCATTTTGACCCAGAAGCAGGTGGGTGACACCAAGAGCAGCATGCCATGGGGCCCCAACAGTGCCATCAGCACTTGCGCAACACTACAGCGCAAGGCAGTCCAGACGGGATGGCTTCAGCAAGGTGAAGGGCAGGCACATTCATCTGCCCAGAGGCCACATCGAGACCCTCTGTCCCAGCAGTCCTGCACCCTGGAGACAGCCTGAAGACATCTTGGTGTATGTAAATGTCCCGATCACTACAGTTTGACTTACTGCTTTTTCTGCTTTGTTATGCTACACAAAAGTGACACATCATTCAATAAAACTGTGAATACTTATTAACTGTGCATTTCCATCTTTTCCCAGGCTACTGGTGTGTGGTAAGATCCTCTCTTGAGATGCTGGGCAGTCGGCACAGCCGAAACTCCGAGTCAGTTCATGATCCCACAATGCATGGATACAAGCTGCTAAGCTAAATGCATTATTCATGGAGAACATTTTAAGTTTACAGCAGGTTTATCCAGTAATGCTACCGTTAAGTGTCAAAGCAACTGGATCTCAAATGTCTTTGCATACACCCTGTGGTATAGCCACAAGATGGAATACAGCGCAACTATTAAAAACTGTAAGACTGCCCTCGATATGAAAGGGTGTTCAGCACGTCCCCATCAAGCAGGCACATGGCTCACAGCCGTGTGTGTGTGTGTGTGTGTGTGTGTGTGTGTGTGTGTGTGTGTGTCTTTCAATGAGAAGGGCACTTCACGGCTGAGGTAAATGGAGAGTGAGTTTGGCCTGCAGGACGAAGTACTGTACTTCATTTCCCACAAAGTGGACTCTTCAGAGCTACCTGAACACTGACCTTAAATCTAATATCAGAAGATACAGTACTTGCAGAATGTTTTTAAAACAGAAAAGACCGGAAAAGAAAATACTTCTATCTTAAAAAAATAATGAAAACTAAAATAAGATCCCATTACTTCTGTCTCCAGCAGTGACTTTACTAAGTAGATTTCTCCCAAATGGAAGTGTTCACAGATAGCAGAGAGACCAGGTATGCATCTCTGTGGTGCTAAGAGCCTCTGCGTATTCCCTGACAATCACTCCTGGAGGGTGTGCTCATGCACCAGGGATAGAGAACTGAAGTCCGCTGAAGAGGACAAATGTGGGCAGGCGGAGGACGGAACCCCCAGGTGGGCATCCTGTCCCTGCACATGTCCACACCAGGGACCCTCCCTGTGCTCCCCACCACCTGCTTGCTACAGGTGTGCCTCAGTGCCCGTGACGGCTGACAATATTAAAGATGACAAGATGCACATTCAGGTCACTACCATAATTCACTTTTAAAGACTGAGTTTAACCAACAGCAAAACCTGACCAAGAAGAACCTTTCTACAGCAAATATTCAAAGTGGCATTCACTGAGGTTCCAGTACCACGTGGAGCACACTGTGACACAGTCACACAGCAGGTCCTGCTGGCACGTCCAGGGGACAGAGGCTAGGGCTCAGACTCATCATGTGAACAGGCTGCTTCCATCCACAGGGAAATCACTGCACACACTTTTCATGTTTTCAGTTAACTGTCCTCTAAATTTCTGCAGTTAGTGAAGCTGAAATAGTTTTTGAAAAATGTACATTATAGACTATAGATCACTAACTGCTCAGCACAAACACGTTTTATGCTTCTTTCAAGCCGCCAGACACCTGCATTAAGTGCTTGTTTTTTTCTCCAGGACCAGAATGGCAGCTTAGTGCGGCAGCTGCAGAGCTCTAAAACTAGCCTGTCCCAGCGGCTCAGACTGTGCGCTCTGCATCCCCAAGTCTGTCTGGGAACAGGTCAACTCCCTTCCCTGGTGAGGACGAGGTGCAGAGGTGTGGTCCCACCTGCAAGGATGGCAATGCACAGACACACTTGAGAACCACACACTGCACGACAGCAGTGGGTGTCAGTCTGTGAAGGACAAACAGCACACAATGGCCATACTCCCTGACACCCCTAACACGGGTGGGATAAACGCCAACCAGATCCCAAGGGCCACACCCAGCCATAGTGGGTTTTCTTAGGCCAACGCCCATCTCTGTGCTGGCGTTTCCTCTGCGATTTACGTCCATGATGAAAGTTCTTCTAAAACTCATGATCACTATGTTAGTTTTGACCACCACCCTCAGCCCTGCAAGTCAGAGACAGTTTAAACCCATGAACTCTAGACTCAGCAAGCCCTTCTTTCAGATCAGCCCTTACCTCCAACTCAACCATCTGGGGGTGACTCTGCCCTCTCTTCCCCTGGTGTTGACAGCCCAGTCAGTTTGAGTACCCCTGCCATGGTCCCTCGACTGCTCCCCTCTCCTGGCCCTACCCCTGGAAGGTCTACCACAATGGACTCTCTCATCCCCAGTTCACATCTGACATGTGAACAAACCTCTCTCAGGACTCAAGCAACTAAACCAAAAGCCACAAACCTACAGCCCAAAGCATGGGGACGGGCATCATGAAATCTCCATTGTGTGGGTTAGTAGCTGCCTCCAGGAGTAGCAGTGCTGACATCCAACC